AATGGCAAGTTGCCGTCCACCCACTCCAGAGCTGCCTAGACAGTTAGATAGATCCCCTACTTCAGAAGCCTGTGCAGTTTAGCAGTTCAGGGGTGATCTGCCATGGTGGGATCAGCCACTCCCCATTTCTGCTTTGTTGTGCCCAGGGGGATGAACATGGAAGCTTTCAGATCTATTTTATGGAAAGAGAAATGCTGTGTCATCTGAAGTTCCACCCCCAAGAAACACTGGTTAACCCTAGCTACACCATGTCGAAAGAAATAAGCTTATTTCCAACTGTAGTTTAAGAAGCTTGCTTGTTTCAACAAACCACAGTTCAGACTGAACACAGATTAGGGAGCAGAAGCTTCCATTTAGGGAGCAGAAGCTTCCATTTTGCTTGCAGCATGGCTTGAAATGGGGAGTACAAAAGTCCAGGGCTCACTGCAGCTTGTGCTCATATTGGTAAATCATGGCTTAGGGTTCTGTGTGAACTGAGCCAGAGAAAAGTCTTCAGCAATGGTTAATAGAATGTGTGAGCTGGATGAGCAGAGGTCTCAGACAGTGATCCTTGGTGTCAATACTGTGGCATTTATCTGGATACGTTTCCCCTTCCTGAAATGTGATATAATGGAATATTTCCATCTGGCAGGGAATCATTACCTTACAATTGTGTGCAGAACCACTGGACCATGTGTCTTTCAATTTTTTTCTTCTCATACATCAGGAGAAGCTATGGCAAGCCCCCCTTCCGACAAAACAAAACATTGCAATGCTTTATTCTCCAAGGCTGTTAATTCACATTCTTTCACAAGTGCTAAAGCCACGCACACAGTAATCTTAAAAAGAGATTGGAAAGTGAGGAAATAAACAGGCTTGGAAAGAAATCCCCTCCTCTTGTGACCTATCAGCACAAGCAATAATAATAAAGCTTTATTATTTTATAGAGTGTCTTCTCTGCCTGGCATATCTCAGAATGTTTGAGATTAAATAGCACAGTTAGTGAATTAAATAATAGTTTACAGAGTATTGGATGACTCAGGGGATTAGTAATGGGGCTATGGATCCTTTCACATCTAGGTCACCAGTTTGGAATCCAACTCATGTTGGTAGCAATTTTTAATAAGGTGCTGGTGTTTAATAGCCAGCAGGGGCCCTACGTGGGATGAATTGGTGAGTTTTAGGTGCAGGGGAGCAAATGATTTCTTCCATTTTATCCTTGGCAATGGATGAAAGTCAGGCACTAAGATGCCATGGAAACAAGGGAAGTCCTAGTTTTTCATAGGGCTTCTTCAGAGGCCGCAAATGAGGGGTGCAGAACCTCAGATGTGAAGGCCAATTCTCCGGGAATTCCCTAGAAGACCATGTCCTGACCCCACTTCTCTTCCAGCCTCAGAACTTTTGGAGATCTTGGTGGCTTTGTGCAGCATTACTGTTCCCATTCTGAAAGGCTGAGGTGCCTCTCAAGGATCCATTAATGGCCGTAAGAGCTTAAAATAGAAACATGCTGACATTTACACTCAGCTCTTTTCTCTTTGGCCCAACCCACTCCTGGAATGTGACCCCAAAGAGCTTCTCTGACATCTGCAGGTAAGCCACTCCCTAGCTCCAACACCCATCTCTAGATCAGGGCTCAAGCAGACCAAAACACATTCCTCTGAATACCTATTAAATTCCAGCTGAAGAAAGTTATGAAGTCTATGAATCCCTACTAGCCTCCATGCCTAGGCGCAGTGTACCTCTGAATATCAAGTGCTGAAGACAAATAACAGAATGAGGGTGTCAACTGTTAAAAAGAGAATGTCAGAAAAGAAAGACCCATGGGATCTTTTTTGCAAGATAACCCATTCGCCTCCTTTCAAGTTTTTGATTTCTCTCCTCACTAGAACAGGCACTTGGGATCTTTCCCCTTTAGGGTTTGTTTCCTCTTTTTTCCCAGCTTTGCAACCCCCCTCCTTTTGTGCATAGATAGCAGTAGCTTGGTGCTGATTTACCGGTATCAGTCTTGGCCCTCAAAGATGGAGTTTGCTATGGACATATGACCATGCAGGGCCGTGGCTGAAGCAGTAGTGTGCTGTTCTTCCTGAGTTCAGGGATCTTATTCCCAATTAAGTGTGAACAGCAGCCTGGGAGAAAGGAGCCAAGAGGACATGCTTTCTGGTATGACCTAAACTGACCCACACAAGCCACTGTGTCTGCCATGTGTGTGAGAGAGATGGTGGGGGACATAAAGAAGCTGCTGCATACAGAGTCAAAACACTGGCCTCTTTAGCTCCATATGGTTGGCACTGACTGGCAGTGGCTTTCCAGAGTTTCAGAAAGGAGCTTCCTGGAAATGCCTGCAATCAAGCTGGGGACTTTCTGTATGCAAAGCGTGTGTTTTACCACTGCGCCAGGATTACGTGGCACTTTGAAGCCTCGGAGTTTGGTGAAGGGCATGGATGGTTGTGGAGGCTGGACCAAGGCAAGGATATGCCAGTAGCAGGATAGCTGTCACTGCTGCTGAGATGCAGGATTCAATTCCCCAGGGACTGTTTATGGCTAACACTTTCTACCAGCAGCAGATTATACCCAGAAACAATAATTCAGTGAGCAATGTGAGGTTTTCCACTTATGCGATAGGAATACTGTTAAAAAGTGAGCCATTTTCTGTGGCAGGCAGACTGTGAGTCAGGAAACCGACTGTACTGCTATCAGGAACAGCTTCAGCCAGCAGTTGGCATGGGAGGATTTTAAGCCTCAGGTTTCATGAATATATTTGTCAATGCCTCAGTTTCCCCCTATGTAAAGCAGGTGGAATAACAATCACCCCTCTGGCCATCTGTTTCCCAGAGCTGACTGTAAGCCATGCGATGCTTACAAGTAACTACCTCATTTGCTGCCTTGTTCTGCTCCTCTTTCATGTAGTCTCAAAAAAGAAAGCTTGTACAAGCAACTGCCCATTATTATCCAGGATGGAGCAAAGAGATGGCATACATGAGGATCATCCATACTGATGGGGATACATTCTTGTATTCTTCTGACATGCATATTACCTTTCAAGGTACCCAGGGCCTTACATAACTCTGATTTATCTTCACAAAAACCTTGTCAAGTAGGTTAGGCTGAAAGCTCAAGACTGGCCCACTCGGGGAGCTTCGTGGCTGAGTGAGGACTAGAACTTGGATCTCCCAGGTCCCTAGTCTGGTCAAAACACCACACTGTGAGCTCCCACGAAGGAAGGTTTGGTATGGCTCAAAATGGGGCCAAGTGTGACAGAGGAATGGGGGTGTGATAAAAGTTAAGGGTGTGACTTATCCAAGAAATGGTCCCAAACATGGCCATGCATGGGAATTATCTATAGAATGCTTTGTGTGTCAGGCGGAAGGGATACAGCAGCTGAAGGACAGTAGGAAAAAGTCAAGTGCTGTAATCAACATCCTGTTCAGTCATATGGTACCCAAGAAGGAATGTCTGGCACTTTCTGCTGCATATATCCCGAACTGTGGGAATGATGCATGTAGCACTTTTTGAGAGTTCTCAGCATAACTACATAGATCAACCTTACAATAGCCCTGTAAGGTAGCAGGCCAATGATTTATTTATTTATTTATTTGCCTTGTCTTGCACTTATTCCCATTGCTCAGGCAAGGCAACTGAGGACTAGGTTGGCGTGGGTGAAGTTTCGCATGAACGGAACCCACCCCGCACACTTACTGCACATCCTCCTCCTTCTCATCCTATGCATCCTCAAGCTCCTGGTCCATCAGAACAATTCTTGCAGCCCACTGGGCAAGTCCCCTGGATGTCTGTGGGAATTGTTCCCCCGCACAGGGTTGCAGCGGAAGTCTCTTTCGAGCGAAAGAGCAGGGGCCTGGAAAGGCTCACTCTGTCCCAAGGTTCCCCAAGGTGCACCCAGCACCGCAATGGTTAAAGCAGGAGTTTCTTACACACACACACACACACACACACACACACAGCCCCCTCCCCCGTGTCCTTGGCTGAGATTAATGTGCTAAGTCTGTGCTTCTCGGGGATGTCTGTGCTGGGGAGCCAAAGTGTTGGTCAGTGATGGAGTTGCTGCCATGACAACCCCTGTAAGTCAGTGCGTGTGAGAGAGGGAGCGAGCGAGCGAGACAGCCAGCGCAGGAGAGCGAGAGCAATTCGGGGACTCGCAAGAGGCGGAGATGCTCCACGCCAGGCGGGAGAGCAGAGCTGGGAAGCTGAAAGTAGCCGCGGACGCCGCCGCCGGCTCCCGCGCGCCTCTCCGTCGCTGAGCCGGGCGAGGGCAGCCGCGCCGGTCCCTCCCCGCCCGCCCGGGCGAGCTCGGCGACCCTTCCCAAGATCTGCGCCGGGACGTTTGCCTGCTGCTGCGGACTTGAACTTGAGGCGGCGTCGCGGGGTCGGGTTGCCGCTTCGGCGGGTCCTCCGGAGGCTCCTCTTCCTTCCTCCCTTCCTCTTCTGCTCGTTTTGGAAAGCCTCTTCCAGCTGCTGCCGGCGGCGTCGCGGAGCTGGGAGTTGGGAACTCCGGCAGCGCAGGGCGGACTGAGTGCGGAGCTGCGCCCTGCGCGCCGCGGCGCGCCGCGACCCCGAGCACGGCCGAGCCCGCTCCTCCTCCTCCTCCTCCTCTTCCTCCTTCGCCGCCGCCTCTTTCCACGGCAAAGTGAGATGCATGAACTATTACTTGGAAGCGCTGGTTTGTGAGGCGCGCAGCCAGCCAGCCGGCCGCCTCGCCGTCCTCGCCTTCCTCCCTGGGGACTCGCGGTCGACGATGCCGCTTGGGAGGCTCGGATCTCTCCAAAAACTGGCTTGCTAGGGGCTCCGCCGCCCCCCTCCAGGACGAGCGGGGTGCCTCCTCCGCGCTCGCCCGCCCGCCCTCCGCCCCCTCCCTTTGTGTCCACGCTTTGCACCATCAGGTGTTGCCTATATACATAGATTTAACAGAAATACATATACATACCTAATAATATATATACCCGTATTTTTATATCTATACTTTTTATTTTTTGCCTTGTGGAGGAAAAAAGTCCCTGCAGCCCAGGATGGGGGTCGGTGGGTGCTTAGTCCTGCCCTGGCGGTGCCTAGTCGTCCTGTGTCTTAGGCTGCTCTTCCTTGTGCCCGCAGGAGTGCCGGTGCGCAGCGGAGATGCCACCTTCCCCAAGGCTATGGACAACGTGACCGTCAGGCAAGGGGAGAGCGCCACCCTCAGGTAGGAGCAGAGGCTTGGCTTTACTCCGGGCTCGGGGCGTGGGGCGAGGCGGGCTGGGCACAGGAGGAGGACCGGTGGGCGACTGCCTTTGTGCCGGAGCGCTCGGGAGCGCTCGCCCTGCCACGTGTGCTCCGTGGCAGCAAAGACTCTGGGAGGGGCTGCCGGACCCCAGGGAAAGCGCCCGCCGGACCGGCCTGATGGGGTCTGGCGTTCGTTGCTCGGGCTGTAGCGCAAGCCACGGAGCCCTGCTGGAGCCCCGATGGCTGGGTGCAGAAAGCCCAGCGGAGAGTGGCCGCGGGTGCTGATGAGTTGGGAGGCATTCGTCGCTACCTCTGCCCGGCTCGGAGGCACAGCGAGAGGATTTCGCTTTAGACACAGGGAGGTGTGGCTGGCGGAGAAAAGGCTGCTGGCAGGAGAAACGGGGTGGCTTGCTTGTGTGTGGCGCTTCGTGGCTATTAAGGAAACAAAAGTGCGTCTCTTCCTGCCGCGGTGCCATTGGCGGGTTAGCTTTCTGCCGTCCATGCCCCGCAAAGGGCTATGATGTTTTAAAGCGCGTCAGGGGTCTATTTTGGTCGCTCCCCTCTTGTGGGATGAAGTATGTGTGGAGCGGGGTTGAGGAAGGGAGCTGGTCGGGCGTCTGTGGGATTTCTGCCCCGGCTGGTCACGATCCAGGCATGCAGTCCTTATCCAGTGGTGCCAAAGTTTGCTTCACCTTCAGAAAGCATTCCCCTCTCACCACCTGCCCAAGTTATTCTTTGTCCAGCTTCTGTCTCTTGGTTCGGTCGTTTTCGTGTGGTCCCCAGTGGTGGGGTGTGGGAGACTGGGTGTGGAGAAGTGATGTCCAGGGACGGATGACATCAGGCCCTGCTCAGACTTAGGTGAGCTTCTGGTACGGCATAGGAATGCTGCAGCAGAGTAGGGCTCGTGGAAGGGAGCTTTGCAACCACCCTGCCAGGCCAGTATTGGTGTGTTGTTCCACCTGAGTTTTCTTACTGGTCCCTCAAGAATGGGAGGCGGATAAGGGTAAACTCTCTGGGAATCTCTCTCGGGGGATGTTTCTAAGACTGCTCCTAAACTAGTGTGTAAATCCCACAGGGCATACTTGCTTCTGAATAAGCCTGCCAAGGTTTGTGTACTGGCTGTACTGGAACTGTGCCCAAGCACTAGATGTGAAGCTTGAAGTCTTGGCTAAAATGGTGTCATTCCACCTTAATACGAGGACACATGATTGGGATGTGAATGATCTTGGTCTTTTGCTGTGGTTTCTTTCAAGCTTCGGCTGGGTCACAGCTGCAGCATGGATCAGTCTTCCTCAAATGGGTGTGTTCTATTGTTTTGGAGTGCAAATCCCATCATCACTGATCATTGGCTATGCTGAGGCTAGTGGAAATTGCAGCATGAAGCATTTGGAAGTTAGTGGGCTGGGGGAGATTGCAATAGCTAGTGGGTAACACAGAGTCATGATGCTTTTTCTTTTCAATTCTTGATTCTTGGGGAAATGAGTTAGATGAACTGCAGTCAGTATTTGTGCCCTACAATTGTTGGATTTGGGCTTGGGAAGGAGCTACACCCACATGCACCTCACGGGGGATCTGGGGTTTGGTAAACCCCTGAAGGGAGCAGGACACAAGCAGGCCACTTGTGCAGCTTGACTCACTTCCTTGTGGGTGTCACATGAAATGATTTGTTCTGCATGCAAATTTCACTGGGAAACCTGCATTTAATTTACGGCTCATGGTGGCCTTGGTCAACGAGTGCCAGGGACAGGGACAGAAGTGTCTTGGACATAGGACAGGGGCTGTGGAGGGCATTATTTGTACACAGCAGGCCCTGTGTCCAGCTTTGACATCTACAGTTGAAAGAATAAGAACGGCTTCTCTTTGCCCAAGATCCTGGTGGACCACTATCACCTAGAGTAGTCAGGATGGACAAATGGTCTGGTGTAGCTTAAAACAGGACCTCATGGCTGTCAGGTTGGCACCTGGAGGATCTGATTATACCTTGAATATTGGCAATGTAGAGAGAGATGGTGGTGGTGGTGCTGACCCTTGAGCCCAAACTCCTTCTCACCCTCTTTTAGGCTCATCTAAGCTGCTGGCAGGAGGGACTGGTAGGGATGGAGGCCCAGGCACTGCATGATGTCTAATTAGATCATCAATGCACAACTTGGCGCCAGCAGTGCTTCCTGACAGTTAGGACCCCTAGGGCTTCCATGGGAGGTGGTTGAAGCGCCATCAGTGTGGGTGTTCAAGGATAGGCTGGGCATGCACATGGTAGGCATGTCATGAGTGGAGCTGGCTGGAGCCGGGGGTCAGACTAGATGGCCCGGGAGACCCCTTCTGACTCGCTCTGCTTTATGTTTCTATTGCTTGGTCTGTGTTTCTGCCCCACCACCATGAGACTTAATGGAAGCATGCTGGAGGGTCTTCCTAGCAGTGAATCTCAGATTTATGCATCCTCTGCCAAAGGAGACAGGTAGTTCCACCATCTTTGTATTTCTGCTAGCGAGCAAAGACATTTTCACTAGAGCTGGCCCAAATAGCCTCTCGATATTCTGTACTGTATTTGTGGCCTATAAATTGAGGAGGGGGGAATCCCCAAGTATCTCCAGCGGGAGGAGACATTATCAAGAGTTCCTCACAGGCAGGACCCCCCCCCCCCCCGTTGGCAGGTGTACAGCCTGTGTCTTCATTCCTACAGTCTTGGACTGGTTTTGTTTGCACTGCCACCGGGAGTGGGAACAGCATCACACATGTTGTGAAGCTGACTCCCATTCTGTATATTCCACAATCCAAGTGGAGTGGCATTGTTGTGCCTAGCTATAGCGAAGAGGTAGAGCCAAAATCTTTCCTCCAACTTCCTGGAAGCTTCCTTCTTTCATGAAAGAGGCTCCCATGGTCCCATGTCTTTCTCAGGGTGTCTTAGCAACCACTTTAGCAAGTATTTTGAGTTCACCTGGTTATCGCAAGGTGGTTGAGGGTGCTTTCAATTATGCATTTCTCAAGTTGTCCATATTTCCTGTTCTGAAAACAGCAGTGAAAGGTATTTCCTCATGGCATCTTTCTTTCCCTGGACCTTAAATGTAGTGCAGGGAAACAATGAAACTACAGGCTGCTGGGGAAGTGTCCAACAAAAGATGAAAGATGAGATCCTTGTTTGCATTCCTCAGGCACCTACTGAACACAAGAAACCATTCCCAAATGAGGAGACTTTCTCCAAAATTTATTCTCCTTTGGATTTCTTCTGGGAAGTCACTCCTTTCCCATCCAGCTGCAGGTGAATGGTTGCCAACCATGTAGGAAAAAGTTTTGTCACAGCACTACCTTGTATAAGGACATTTAAGCTATCAAAAGAAAATATAATTTCTGGGCACCATTAGTTTCCTCCTTATTAGTGCTTTTAAAGAAAATGGATTAGTTTGCACTTTTTAAATCTAGTGTGGCCTTTTATTTCATGTCAGCTACTTGTCGAGGCCTAAAATCCCATTTGTTGCAGGGATTTCTGCTTCCTGGAACCCTCCGTACCCTTTTCTTCCCCTCAGTATTGGTCCCTGTTCACCAGGACTTTCCAAGGGAGCAAATCACATGAGGAGCAAGGGGAAGGGTCAATAATTCAAGGTGCTGGTTATTACTTATAAAGCCCTTAATGGCTTGGGACCCAGATACCTAAAGGAACGCCTTCTTCCATATTTGCCCTCTTGCCCCCTGAGATCAGCGGCAGAGGCCCTCCTCTGGGAGCCCTCTGGGAGAGACATTAGGAGGCAAAGTACCCGGAGGAGGGCTTTCTCTGCGGTGGCGCCCCGCCTATGGAATGCGCTCCCCAGAGAGGTCCACCTGGTGCCGTCGTTTTTTGTTTTTCGGCGCCAGGCCAAGACCTTTTTATTTCAATGATATTTTAATAACTTTTAATATCAGTTTATAAGTTTTAATATGCAGCCAGGGTGGGTCTGGATTTTAGCTGTATTATGTTTTATTTATGTAAGCCGTCCCGAGGCTATGCGATGGGACGGCATACAAATGCTCTAAATAAATACACACACACGCACACATATATATAAATTCTGCAGGCCGTCTCCAGTGGCTTTACAAACACATTCATGGAGAAGGAGGGCAGCAGAAGCCACTGGTCATGGTGGCATCCTGCTGCCTTTGGGTCCAAGTCAGCATGCCTGCCCTGAGGCTGATTGGGCCAAGTCAATAATGGAAAGGTAGGAGGGGCATCCTAGAAAGGGCATCCTGGGTCTTTGCCGAGGCTGCTTCCAGCCCCCGGGGCCACCATGCTCGCTATGACCATTAGCTGCTGGGAGAGGTCTATGCGTGCCATGCCTTGCTTATGGACTTTCCACAGATGCTTATTCTTGTGTACATTCATGGTATTTATATGCAGATCTGGTAAATGCAGACTATGGAAGTGCAGCCCTCTTTGCAGTGCTTTCGTGAATATATTTTACAAATTCTTTTATTATATTTTTGTACTCTGGAATACTTTTTGGGGGGAAATGACAGTCTGCAGGATAAAATGAACAAGCATGCAGAACAGCCTCATCAGCTGAGATAACAAGGAGCAATGCACAATTTTGACAAATCCTTCAGCTAGGAAGCATTTTATGCCTTTATGGAAAAAAATGTTCTATTTAATTATGCAAGTGAACATGAATTGCAAAACCTGTTTCTGGTCCAAAAACAAATTGCTGATCATTATTAGCTTTTGGGCATCTTTCAAGTCATTTTATCTATCTTGGACTTACTTTATGTTGCACAAAAGAACAATGTTCTCTAATCCTCATAGATTTTCTTAGTGATAGTTGGGTTGTGGCCAAAGCATCATGTCTACCAACCAGCTCCCCATAACAAGAGGAATAACACATAATAATGTGCAATATTCTAGAATTGTCAGTGAGCTGCAATATCACTTGCTTGGCCAAAATTGTATAATAATACATACCTGGCCAGTTGCAAGGACTGGAGAAAGACCATCTTGTGGTGGGTGTGCGGTGGGAT